ATGGCCAGGCATTGTGGCGGGCGCCTGCAGTCCCAGCTACTTGGGAGGCTGAGGCAGGAGACTCGCTTGAGCCCAGGAGTTGGAGGTTGCTGTGAGCATGATGCCACGGCACTCTACCCAGGGGGATAGCTTGAGGCTCCGTCTCAAAAAAAAAGAAAAAAATATGAGCCTAAGCGCATGATCAGACAAACTGTAGCACAGCCATACAACGGAATATTATTCAGCAATAAAAAGAAATAACTGGGGGCGCCAGCCCCATATACCGAGGGTGGCGGGTTCAAACCCAGCCCCAGCCAAACTGCAAACAAAAAATAGCCAGATGTTGTGGCGGGCGCCTATAGTCCCAGCTACTCGGGAGGCTGAGGCAAGAGAATCACTTAAGCCCAGGAGTTGAAGGATGCTGCAAGCTGTGTGATGCCACAGCACTTCCCTGATGCCACAGGGCTGGGGAGGGGAGAGCTGACCCTCTCCAGCATCCTGCCAGGGCCCTGGGGAAGGAGGCGAGCATGTGGAGGAGGAGACACTCCTCTTCTCCTCACAGGCTGGGTGACAGCCTCACGTCTCTGGACTCAGTTGTTTTTTTTGAGACAGAGTTTCACTTTGTCACCCTCAGTAGAGTGCTGTAGCATCATAGCTCGCAGCAACCTCAAATTCTTGGGCTCAAGCGATTCTTTTGTCTCAGCCTCCTAAGTAGCTCAGATTATAGGTGCCTGCCACAACACCTGGCTATTTTTAGAGACAAGGTCTTGCTCTGACTCAGGCTGGTCTCGAACTCCTGAGCTCAGACAATCCACCTGCCTTGTCCACCTGGAGTGCTAGGATTACAGGCATCAGCTACTGTACCCAGCTTGGTCTCAAGTTTTTCCATCTGCATCCTGGGAGGGTTTCAATATCCTCTAGTGACGTCCAAGGGCCTTTCCAGTACTCAATTTCTAAAACCCTTTAGCACACTGCTCTCTCCTCATGCCTGAGAACAAGGCAGAGAGGGACTGCTCATGGTAGGTGGAGGGTCCCTCCTAGGTCTGACTGGAGGAGAGTCTCTCTGTTCCCCAGGCTACTCACAAGAGGTCCTGATAGTAATCTTCCTGGGGCACAGCTCCAAACTTGGATGAAAGTGGCAGTAAGACCAGTAAGAAGGTTACTAAGGCCAGGGCTCTGGTCCTACCCAGGGGCCCTCCACCATCTTTGACAAGGACCAAGGTGAAGGTATGTCATGCCTTGGATAACTCACAATCAGTGATAAATCCCAAACTTCACTTACAGTGAAATCCCAGGTGTGAAAGGCACAAGGTCATGGTGACTTCTTCCCACAGGACTTGGACAACATGGCCTTGGAGTTGACCAGTACCTCTCTGTGGTCCTTCCTCAATGCTTCATCCACCCTGTTCCCAAGCCAAGTGTGCCTGTGAAGCCACCTTAGCCTTGGAGCCCCTCTGTGTACCCACAATGCCTGGCAAATTCTGACTCCTATCAGTGCAGGTAGCCCCTCCTCCAGAAAGCCCTCCCTGACTGGCTAAGGGTCTCTTCTGGATCTAACAACTCTGTTTCCTCCAGTTCCAGCACTGATGGCTGTGTGGAGGCTTCCTGGAAAAGGGCGGCATCTGTGCAGAATTCAGAAATAAGGAAGTATGTGTGGCACAGAGGGGAGAATGAAAGGCCCTCTAGGTAAGGAGACAACACAAAGAAAGTCTGGGTGGCAGGGAGGGGAGTGATCCGGCCAGCAAGTTAGGCCCTAGGTAGGTTCCATAGGTAGGGGGAGGGTCACTGCCAACAGGAATCCAAGGTGGGCAGAGCAGGACGCCTTAAGCTGAATATGCCATGGGCTCTGCTGCCCAGGCCCCTCATACCTGCTCCATCTCTGAGGAAACATCACTCAGTGGCTGAGGCTAGGGCTCAGTCAGAAACTAAAGAATCCCTGATGCCATAATTAAGGTCATTATTGATATCTTTCAGGGAGATAGATTTCTCCTGTTTACCTAACACTTCTGTCCTGAGAGACTTCCCTTCCTCTTTGGAGGAGCTGGGGGGCCTGAAGGCCAAGGGGAACCAGCTCTTCCCCTGCAAGCCCAGCTGGTGGGCTCTCCACACCTGTCACCCCTCCCAGTGCTCTCCCATAGGAGGGAAGGAGCAGAGCCTAGGCATACTCCCTGCCACTTCTAGGGGGAAGCTAGCTTCCTCCTTGAACTGCAGCTTCATACCAGGACACCATCAGTGCTGAATGTCATGTTCTTTAGCTTCTTCAGTGGACATTTAAGAAGCCACCTCTATGTGCCAGGCACTGCTCAGAGCTGAGAGGGATTTATAGGGAATCAGATGTGGCCCTTCCTTTCAAGGAGACAGCCTCATTACAGCAATAGCAGCTCCAATAATTATAATTATTTGCACAGAGCTGTACAATTTACATAGAGCCTCCACACATGTCATCTCATTGGAGGGTCACACCCCTCCACAGGTCAGTACCAAGATCCCCATAATAGATATGGGGGGATGGAGCTGAGACTGGTGGGGTGGGGACTCACCCAGCACCAGGCTGAGAACCGGGATCCAGACCACCAGTCTGCTGATCCTCTTCCTCAAGGAAGGCCCTGGTGGGCACACTCACATGTTTGGGGGTACATTTGGGGCTACAGCATGGACAGGAACCAGTCTCAGGAGCCTGCCCAGGGACCTTTGGTTCTCTTGGCACAGAAAGGATCTCTTTCCCACATCAGGGCTATGAATTGGGGCTAAGTAGCCACCAAGAGTGACCTGGCTTTGCCTAGAGGCTGTAAATTTCCCAAACCAGAGTGTTAGAATCACCTCACCCAAGACTCATATCCTGGAACAATTCAACCAGGACCTTAGGATTATCCCTGCATTTCAATCTATTAAGTCATAAAATGTTAGCACAAGCAAAGTCCTGGAGGCATTCCAGCCAGCCTGCCTACCCTTGTTCCCTCCAAGTCACCAGGACTGCAGGAAGTTGACCTGAGAGCTGCTGCCCTATTCCTCCCCCTTCTCCCACTGGCACCCACAGGTTCTCCCTAGAACCAGAAGAGCCAGCAAATGGCCCCAGGACCTCTGTATGTGCCTCCACCCTCTCACCCTCAGATTGACATGGACAGGCCCCTGCCAGGAGGTCAGTGATTCAGTCACACGGAGCAGGCTGGCTTTTTACTGATGCCTCTCCCTAGGTTCTGGGGGGTAGGGGGTGGGAAGATGGGGTCACCAACTGAATGAGGTGGGGATGAGGAGGAGAAGGAAAAGGCAGCTGAGTCTGGCAGAGACGCGTGCAGAGCAAACTTGTCTCTGCCCAGTTTTTGCCCCCTGAAGGAATGGGGAAGAAAGTTTTACTTTACTTATTTAAGTAAAATAGCAGAGTTGTTATACACAGGCTTCTCATGCAGGCCCTGGGGATAGGAAAAGAAGCAAGTCTTACCATTCAAGGAATCTTTCTCTTACGTCCTTCCCCTCACCCCTACCTTTCCAGCCTCACCTCATCCTGTCCCTCCTCGCCCGGCTGTGCTCCAAGGGCACCTGCTACCTGCTTTCCCACCTCCATCCAAGTCCATGCTCAAGCTGGGGCCCCTACCAGGAAAGCCCTCCCCTCACCCCAATCCACATCCCACCCACCTTAACAAATGGACCCAGTGCAGAGTTTGGCAAGATTCTCCCCCAGAGCCTCCTACCTCCTCCCTTTGAGCTCATGTCATCTGGCAAAGCTCTTGAGACCAATCACAGGCCTCAGTGCTCTGTAATTATCTGCTTCCCTGGCTTGCCCACCAGACTGAGAGCTTCCCCAGGTTTAGACTTCTGATCTATTTTGCCAAGCTTTCTGAAGACCACAATATCTGTGGCCCTGCACGGAGTGATCGAAGACACAAGACATCCCAGGTCCTGTCTCCGCTAGTGAGTCACTTGTAAGAGACCTATGTCCCCTGCACTGGGCCTGGCACCAAGGAGATGCCCATCTCTTTGTCAGTCACAAAGCCAGTTAAAGGAAAGACAGAATGAACTAGAGCTTCTTAAGCCACACAACTGCAGAGCCACTTCTGAGCCTGGTCTGAATTCTGCCTCTGAATAACAATTAGCCTTTTTCCAATTTACAGAAAAAAATTAAGTTGCTAAAAAAAAGTCTCAACGAGGTACTTCTGTCTCACAAATTTTTTTTAAACCTCTGTTATTGGCTTGTGCATTTCTGTACAGATCTAGTGTAAGATGACCTCAGATTTAGCCCAGGACGCTAATTTCTTCACTGTCATCACCATTGCTCTCTTCACAGTATCCTGCAAAGAGCAGCCGTCTCTCTGCTTCCAGGCATGTCTGAGAACCTGGGGCCTGAACTTTTCTTCTACTCTTTCAAAATGTCCAAGTTTCCCTTTGGTGACCAAAGAAAACTGGTTCTGTTTGAAAGCTGAGGGAGAAAGTGCCAGGAGTTGGCTGGCCCACCTTGAAGCTTCATGCCACTTCCATGATTCAAGGCCTCCACTTCCACCGCTTACCATTCATTCCTTTGGCTGCAGCATCACTTTCTCTAGGATTCTCTTAAAATACAAATCTTCCCTGGAGTTGAGAGTCCACTAAACCCTCGTATTGGAGGTCAAGGAAACTTAGCTTATTATATAGCTCTAGGGAGGCAGTAAATCACAGGGGTTCTGAACAGCCAGCCTGTTTGGTTGGAAACCCAGCCCTATCACTTAAATGAGCAAGTTTCTTAATGGTTCTATTCCTCAGTTTCCTAAGTTACAAAGTGGGGATAATAATGGCACCAACCTCATAGGCTGTTCTGAGGATTTAATGAGCTAATGCATGGAAGACACTTAGACAAGTACCTGGTACACTCTGCTAAGCAAGAGCTATTGTCCATAGAATGGGACAATAATCCCTGCTCCTCCTGCCCTTTTTTTCATAAACTGTACAGTGTTATCCCCATGGAAGAGGAAGGCATTAGAATCTAGTTGGCTGCTCTCCACATCCATCTCTAACTCCTTTCTCCCTCCTTCCCTTTCTCTTTTCTTTACCTGGAAGAAGGTACCAGTGGCTGTGAGCCGGGCTCCTGGGGTGTCCTGTCCACAGAGGCAGTGATGTCACTTCACTGGGAGAGCTGAGGGGACAAGAAGACAGACCCAGGGAGATCATTCACTAGTCCATTCTGCCTTCTACCCTCCCAAGTGACCCTTAATGAGCCCCCAGCCCACACCCTCCCAGTGCTATGGTCCTTGATCTGGTGGGTGAGCTGAGAGGACATGCATGATCCAATCCTAGGCCATGAAACCCATCACATGCAATCCCACCTCTATACATGCTGCCCACAAAGCAGCCCTAGGCCCAAACCCAGATAACCTGTTCCCTTAACCACTCTTGCCCCCTCCAAGAACCACGGAAACAGGATCCAAGGTCCGGCCACCCTAAGGGCAGAGGCCCTTTCATGCTGCCCAGGGACCTGCTTCTTTAAGGTAGCTGCTAAACCAGCTGCTCTTCTAAAGGAGCTGCTGAGGGAGGGCCGGTGGGCTGGAGGCGGGATCTGGGGCACTGCAATTATGTGCCTGAGTTCTGAGTCACACACCGCCTCCCCCACCACTAGCTCCTGCAGCCAGCAGGGCAGACCCCTATCCAGGAACTGAGAGAAGAGACAGTACCAACAGATCGTGGGGGGAAGAGGAGAGGAGGGGAGTTTGGGGTTAGTACTTCAGGCTTCAGAGGATGCTGCCACCTTACCTACTACGGGACTTTGAGGCTGTTAGGGCCAGAGGCCTTCCTATGTCATACAGAGGCAGAGGCAGAGCCAGCACTAGGACTCAGGCCTCCTAGTGCCCTGCAGACCCAAGGCAGTGGTGGCTCAGGCCTAGTGCCCAGTCCAGACCCTTGCCAGCATGAGAACTCTCCCCAACCCAATTGGACCCTAGAGCCACACCCCAGCAAGAAACATAGATAAGATATAGCCTTAAACCAGAGGTTCACAGAGCTGGGCTCAGAAACAGTTTAGAAATGACATTAGCTACCTGATGGGCAGCCCTGCCTCTCTATGCCTCTAGTCCGGGGTTTCTCACAGTGCCCTGAATGTACAGTACTTCACAGTTTATAAAGCACATTTATTTCCTTTACCTCCCACAATGATCATAAGGCCTAAGTGGCAGGGGAAATATAAGTAGACTAGAGCTTCTCCAACTTTACTACATCCCCAAATCACCTGGTCTCGTTGGGGCCTGAGACTCTGCATTGCTGACAAGCTCCCAGGTGATTCTGATGCCACAGGTCTACAGACCAGTGTCAGTAGTGAGGGCACAGTGATTAAGAGTGTGGGAGCTGGGGCCAAACTACCCAAGTTGGAACCTTTGCAAGTTCTTACTGTGTGACCCTGGGCAAGTTACTTCACCTCTCTGTGCTTTAATCTCCTTACGTATAAAACAATAATAATAATAATAATAAAACCCACACCAATAGTCAGTGTGGTGGTTAAATTAGTTACTATATGAAAAACACTTAAAAACATTATATTTCAAATTTTAAAATGGGGGTTCTGAGAGGTAGATCTACCCAGCAAGGTACACAGACAGAATTCAAGCTCAGATCTCTTAATTAAACCCTGTTGCACAAAATGTCACAACTACTAAGTCCTCCCTGAATCAGACAGCCACAGATACTGAGGGGCAGAGAGGGGCAGAGAATTGACACCAGAAGTTTGGAATCAGAAATGAAAGTCTGTGACTCCAGCCTGGGACTCTCAATCACACCTCACTGGCCTGTCAGGAAGAGAAAGTGCCATAGAATCTTCTTGAGGGGGTCTCGGCTCTACTGTCAGCCCATCTGGGCTGGCAGCTACCCTGGAAACCAGTAGGGGTGGCTGGTTGTGGAGGCTGCCCCCATCCCCACCGTGGCCTCTCTAGAGCCCCTGCCCAGCAGGCTGCGGAAGGCAGAACTGATGACATCTTCCTTCTATTCCCCACCTCCTACCTCCATCCTGTGCCCATTGCCCAGTCTCAGGGTTACCCAGCTGGAGTCACAGGCTGAGGGTAACACGCTTGGGCCTGGCTCCACCCCTACCTTGGCTTCCCAGCACAGGGCCAGTGGGAGCCTGTGAGTCACTTGAAGGAAGTGTTGGGCCCCAAGCAGGAAGTGGCTCTTGAAGCAGAAACCCCCTATAGGATGGCCTAGGGCCCTGGGGCAGGTGCCTGGGTGGTAGAAGATAGTAGAGGAAGGGAAGCTGATTAAGACATAGCAACACTTACCCTGATTTTACCCGACATTGCAAAACCTGGCCTGAGGACTTTTCTGCTGCAGATTGGCTGTGTGTTCTTAGGTACATCAGTGCCCTCTCTGAGCCTCAGTTTTCTGAACTATAGGATCATGGCCTACACTAAAAGACTGCCACAGCCTGGCAGTCCACAATGAAATGAAGGGTTGGAACAAGTGCATATATGAATGAAATGAATGACTGAATTATGGCACCTAGATTTAAACGTTAGCTATAGTATAAGATCTGTTACTTCTCAATTGTTAATTGCACAATAGAGATGTCCTCATTGGCAAAAGAAGATCTACCCCCTGAACCACCCTTAGACAGGGAAAAGAGGCCACCACTCTGAACCCCACACATCACAAATATAAACTCACAAATTCATTAGAGAACAAACAGGAGCCTCTGTCATGGGATATCCACGTGACCTATAATCCTTAACATCCGCTCCCCTAACACCACTCAGGCCCCAGGGAAACTCTCCTCCATCCTTTGAACTTGGAACAAAAGGTGATTTTGTTCAGATGCTGTGAAGGTCTATGGGTTCTGTTGCTGCAAGGTAGGAGATATATGGAGAAAGGGGGCAGAGTGGCAAAATGTGTAAAGTGGAGACTAACTTGTCAAATCCTTTCTTTAGGATAGCAACGTGTGATGCTTCTTATACAACCAAGTATTTGAACCTCAGTATTGCTGAGCACCTTTTTTATGGCAAGGGGGTGGGTATGGAGGACATTTCTTTCTGTTCCAATCTGTGGTTCTACAAGTACACACGAATTAGTATAATATTCACAAAAAAATGTACATGGTGGGTGAGAAACATCTTGACAACCCGTATTGCCTAAGTTCATGTTATATTAAATGTGATACTAATTCTTTATATTGGCAGCAAAGTGGACACTGAATACTAGTTTCATTTTTAGAAAATCCTTAAAAATATGGATAATTATTTCATCTCTAATATTTCATTTTAAAACCTGATACTCATTCATTATGATGTATATTGTTTTAATTTTTTTTTTTTTTTGAGACAGAGTCTCATTATGTCGCCCTCAGTAGAGTGCCATGGCATCACAGCTCATACAACCTCAAATTCTTAGGCTTAAGTGATTCTCTTGACTCAGCCTGCCAAGTGCCTGGGACTACAGGTACCCACCACAATACCCAGCTATTTTTTTGTTGTAGTTGTCATTGTTGTTTTACCTGGCCTGGGCTGGGCTTGAACCCACCTGTGGCTAGTGCCCTACCCACTGAGTACGGGTGCTGCCCCTATTGTTTTAATTTTAGTACATACTTTTGTGCATTAAAACCTTTTCTTAGCTCAGTGAGTAGGGCGCCAGCCACATACACCAGGGCTGGAGGGTTTGAACCCAGCCCAGGCCTGCTAAACAATGACAACTGTAACAAAAAAATAGCTAGGCATTGTGGCAGGTGCCTATAGTCCCAGCTACTCGGGAGGCTGAGATAAAAGAATCACTTAAGCCCAAGAGTTTGAGGTTGCTGTGAGCTATGACACCATAGCACTCTACTGAGGGCGACACAGTAAGACTCTGTCTCAAAACAAAAACAAAAAAACTTCTTTTTTTTAGACAGAGTCTCACTCTGTTGCCTTTGATATTGTGCCATGGAGTCATAATTCATAGCAACCTCAAACTTTTGGGCTCAAGTGATCCTCTTGTCTCAGTCTCCTGAGTAGCTGGGACTACAAGCACCCACCACGATGCCCGTCTAGTTTTTCTATTTTTAGTAGAGACAGAGTCTCACTCTTGCTCAGGCTCCTTTCGCACTCCTGAGCACAGGCAATCCACATGGCTCAGCCTCCCAGAGTGCTAGGATTACAGCCACTCTGCCTGGCCTTACTTTACATTTTTGATTGTCATATATTCAAATTCTATATACTTTAAATATAAGTGCATTTTATTTTTAATCCTTTAGATCACTGCCATCAGCAGAATACAAACAACATGAAAATCTGGATTACAACAGTACAACTAGTGATCTGGTTAAAATGAAGACAATAAAACACATTTTATGGAATAAATAAATAATAAGTCTTTTTACTCATCTGACTATCACTAGCCCAACAACAAAACGCCTAGGTATATACAATAATTAAACTCAGAACTCTTTGATATCTTGTCACTTGCCGCTTTTTTTTAAGTTTTTGGCCAGGGCCAGGTTTGAACCTGCCACCTCCGGTATATGAGGCTGGCACCTTACTCCTTTGAGCCACAGGCGCTGCCCGTCACTTGCAGTTTTATAAAACTGTAACTTTACACATATATTTCAATTTATAGTATGAAGGTCTATGTGTATTTGTCAAGGAGGGAAAATCAAAGCTATTATATCTAATAGTCTCTTGGCTTACTTTATAACCTTTAAATATCTGACAAAGCTTTACGGGTTTTTATTTGTACTTGTGCTCTGGGCTCTGCTAATTCAGGGACAGGTCTGTCCACTCCCCGCCTCCTTCTCACCTTTGTGGGGCCCAGAACACAAGTACAAATAAAAACGCATAAAGCTTTGACCTCTTGTCTGACACTCAGCCCTGCCTTCCCCAGAGTCTGCCCTCAGAAAGTGCTCTATACTCCCTAAGACCTTATACTTTTACCCTTAGGTGGGACATTCCATCAGGGGCAGTGACCATGACTTGACTGGCCTCTCCCATACATCCAGAACCCCTTAAAATCCCTTCAACTCCATTTCCATCTCCCAGGGGCAGCAGGTGCTGAGGGGTTTCCATTCCAGGTTCTCGTTACCGCCGTCCCACTAAAAAGGGAGCTGGCAGGTTCTGCTACACAAGGCTGGCAGCCCCTTGCCCATCAGGCTAGGGAATGGTCCTGGAGACTGTCTGTGACCCCGTATGTTTT